CAAAGAAAATCGTGAAAAGCTGAAATATTTTCCCTTGAGACGATGGAAGCAAATCAACATGTGAAGGAAGAGAAGGTGGGGGACTTTATATCTGACTGAGAGGAGTGTAGGAGAGGGAGTGAGGGAGGAAAGGAGGGAGGGAGGGAAGGAGAGAGGAAGGAAGGGAAGGAGGGAGAGAAGGAAGGAAGGAAGGAGAGAAGGAGCAGTGACGGCAAACAAGGTCTCGGTGCTCGCCTGCGTTATCCAGTTGACTCGTCCGTGACTCCTACACCTCACGTCAGATCTGGGGTTTGAATTTCCTCCTGCTCTTCCTCTTCCTCCTGCTCTTCCTCCTCCTCCTGCTCTTCCTCTTCCTCCTGCTCTTCCTCCTCCTCCTGCTCTTCCTCCTCCTCCTGCTCTTCCTCCTCCTCCTACTCTTCCTCCTCCTCCTGCTCTTCCTCCTCCTGCTCCTCCTCCTCCTCCCCCCCTCTTGCTGGTCTGCCTCCTCCTCATACAAATTAACAGCACCAACTTTTCACCACACGAGGGCTTTCATTAACTCCAGACTGACTCCTGCCAAACTCGTCCTCCACGACCTCGTCAATTCACTGGAGAGGGAACTGACTACCACTCGGGTTGAGGGTGACCTGACGAGTGCTAAGGTGATGGAGAAGTTAGTTATGCCACAGCAGGAACTGAAGGGGTGTTTTGTAGCTCGTCTCTCGTTTAGTTTGAGTTAATTCTCACTGATTGACCAATAGTTTATTTTCAATCAACTCGATTATTTCTCACTTTGGAGTTTATTTCCTACCAACCATCAGTTTATTTCTCAGGGAGTTTATTTTTTCATTAACCAGCAATTTATTTCTCATTAACTCGATTATTTCTCACTTTGGAGTTTATCTCCTACCAACCAGCAGTTTATTTCTCAGGGAGTTTATTTTTTCATTAACCAGCAATTTATTTCTCAAGAAGTGCGTTTATTTCTCATCAACCAGCAATTTATTTCTCATTAACTCCATTATTTCTCACTTAGGAGTTTATTTCCTATCAACCAGCAGTTTATTTCTCGAGCAGCAGTTTATTTCTCATCAACCAACAGTTTATCTCACAGGGCATCAGTTTAACCTCGAGTCAACTGGAGTTTAAAGCAAATTACAACTTTTTGAGTCAACTCTTATGTAGTTTTACAGGAAAGTTCATATACCTTCGTGTTTATCCTTCCTGAACAAGATCGATATTTAATTTGCCGAGAGAGGGTGAAAATATACCTAACCTATTTTAACCCTCACTTAATCTAACCTAACCTAACCTAACTTAACCCAACCTCACCGAGTCCAACCTTAATCTAATCTCACCCTACCTAACATAGATTAGATTAGAGTTAAGACAGGTTAGGTTAGTTTAGGTTAGATTAGGTTAGGGTAAGATAGGTCAAGGTTTAAGTTAAGTTTAATCTGATTATGTTAAGTTAGGTTTGATCTGATTAGGTTAGATTAGGTTAGGTCAGGTTAAGTTAGGTTCAGTTAGGTTTGATCTGATTAGAAAAAATTACGAGGATTTAAGAAGAAACACCAATTTAGTTTCCGGGTTTTAGGGACACTGAACTGAACAGACCACCTGAGAAAAGTAAACATTCCATCAACGGTGTACAGCAAGAGACGTGGAGATATGGTCGACGCGTTGAGCTTGTCGCCAGGAATACACGATGAGGGACACTAAACCCAGGCCCACACAACATCATCCCTGGGAGGCCATAGTTGTTGTTTTGTTTTTTTAAAGTGGTCGAGGAAGACACGGTAGATGTATCGAACTGAGGTATAACAATTTCTCGATTTGGATGTACGATACTTGCTTTAAGGAACGGGCGGTAATGTCACGAATTGGGTAGTTTATACAACTCTGATATAGGCAGGGAAGCTATTAATCATACTAGTTCATGGTCGATTAATGAAGATCTGGATATACAGACTTGATGCCTTCGCCATTTATAGTTGGTTAAGATTCACCTGCTTGTTGTCATTGGCGTCATCAGAGAGTACGCACCAACCTCCAGAGGACACACAGATAAGGGGTCAGTATTATACTCTCGTGTGTATTGTAGGGTGAGGAAGTCTATGGTCTGTTCCATCTGAAGAAGGTTGGTGTTTGAGATGGCCAGGGGGAGGAGGAGGGGGGAAGGAAGAGAACGAGGAGGAGGAGAAGGAAGAGGAGGAAGAAGAGAAGGAGGAGGAGGACAAGGAAGAGGAGGAGGTGGAGGAGGAGGAGGAGGAGGAGGTCACAAGTATAAGGAACATTCACAGTTTGAAGGACGACTCTATTCTAAGCTATAGTTACAACACTACAGTAATGTTTCTCACGATCTTGTTTCTCAGTGTTAAGGAGTCATTTGTGTGGTCGTGCGAGGGGTGAACACGACCCTAGTGTGTGTGTGTGTGGCTGCCTCAGTGAGCCCTGAAGCCTGCTATATATAGTAAACCTAATTAACGGGGTAATTGGCGCAGGTTCCCGTTAAGTAGAAAAATCCCGTTATAGAGGATTTCTTTGTCCAGTTAAAAGTATGGCGTCATTTATGTTAATGTGAATGTTAATGTTAATAATAAACCATCAATAACTCAACCATTAGTAACAGCAATACAGGAATAACATTACAGGAAAGAGTAATTGTTGTAACATGTTCACGACCAATGAGTGAAGTAACGAGGCAGAGAAATAACATAATGTTTGGGTGTAAACGAGATGCTTCAGCTTCATCTATCCTGCCATCACGACCATGTTTTGTAATTACGTACACACACACACACACACACACACACACACACACACACACACACACACACACACACACACTAAAAACACAAGAAAATATTTGTAGAGGAAGTTGCTAAGTCCCACAGATTGGTAGCCAGAGTGGGGCGAATCCTTACCCAATCTGGCGGTGTTATCCTCGCTTCACAGCTCCTCCCGGTGGGATATACGGCCGTGCACACCTCCCCACCTTTTCCCGCCTTAAGCTACAATACGCTATAAGAAGCTGATAAAAAACAAAAACAAAAACAAACATAGGAAGAACTATTTTGATAAGAATTTTGGGTATACAAGCGAAAGGAAAGATATATTCAAGAAGACAGCAAATCATGGCGATAATTTCATGGTACTAGTTTATGATGGTGGTTGGATAAGGCGAGAACTCCGTGTGGGCCAGTTGTAACTCTGCTTAATATTGAACGGAGTAACAAATTCTCTGTTCAATTTCCATGACATATGTTGTTGGGGGTGGGGGGGTAAAAATGAAGAGCGAAGAAGAGGTTTTATTTTCTGAGAATAGAATGTAAATATCTGTTGACGGTAGTGTGTTGTGACTGTCAGTATATAAGAGAAATAATAAGGCAGGGTAAAGGTCATGTGGGTTTGGATCCTCTGTTAGCCGCTTAGAGTGTCTTCTGGGACGACCTGATCCTACTTACCAGCGACCAGTTGATGTTCTTCTCTCTCTCTCTGTGTCTTTTCTCACTTCTCTAGATGTTTATTGGTGTTTCTGTGTTTTTCCTTCTGTTCGTCTCTTGTTTTTGGGTGTTGTTTTCAAGTCCTTGTTTTAGTGTGTGTGTGTGTGTGTGTGTGTGTGTGTGTGTGTGTGTGTGTGTGTGTGTGTGTGTGTGTGTGTGTGTGTACAAGAAAGACTCAAAATACTAAACCATAAAATATTATACGTTCCATTTTTTATCGTCCAGCATCATTTGATATTGAACATATTTTCTATAATGTTACGTTTAATATTCTAATCTCGCTCCTGCAACAAGCGTTATGCATCTTGCAACGTCACCTTGCAATCCTCGTAAACACTGGGATTTCCATATCTGAATCACTGATATCTATTAAGAAACCCATAAGCAATTTCTCTATCTCCATTGTAATACATTCTTGAATTCATTGTCTCGTAAATTAAAAAAAAAAAAAAAAAAAAATTTTCTAATGGACAATATAAGGGAAGAACACATCACCATATGAACCATTAAGAATCCGCGTTCATGTTTGTTTACGTTCGTGGATTACAAAAAACAAAAAATAAAACGTTCTACAAAAACACTTCCCTCTGAATCGCCTGGACAGTACATTCCTAAAAGACTCAGGTGCATCGCTGTTGGTGTGGGGGGACTTGATGTAGTTATGTTGATGGGGTTCATTTAGCTCCTAGTATTGTGGGGGGTAGGAGGAATGCTTTACTCAAGAACCCAAGAGGAATGTTGGGTTATCTCAGATGTGAGGACCGCGGCGTCTGGGGGGGTCATACGAAGGAAGCCGAAGAAAGAGAGAGGTAAGAGGAGACAGAATGGGAGAGAGAAAATGATTGAGGAGTAGAGAGAGGCTGAGAGGTAGGTAGATACAGAGAGAGAGAGAGAGAGAGAGAGAGAGAGAGAGAGAGAGAGAGAGAGAGAGAGAGGGAGACAGTGAGAGAGATAGAAAGACAGAGAGAAAGAGAGACACAAAGAAAGAGAGATAGAGGCTGACAAAAAGAAACAGAGAGACAGACAGAGATCACGAGTATGAACAAAGACGATAAGAAATGAGAAGGAACACACACACACATACACACACACACACACACACACACACACACACACACACACACACACACACACACACAGTGGAACCCAGCGATCATTCTTCTTCTTTGTGTGTGCGTGTGTGTGTGTGTGTGTGTGTCTTTTGTTTAACAGCCAATCAGAGACAATGTACGTAAATCAGCAACCAACCGGAGTTAAATTACCACATTAAGTAGCCAATCACAGGGAAGTTGCTGACAATTACTGACCAATAAGAGAAAGTTACTCGTTTTGTCCCTAACTCATTAAAGAGAATATCTTCTAATCATTAACCAATCAATGAAAAGGTGTTAATCAATAACCAATCAGAGAGAATAAACTCCAATTATTAACCAATCAGAGAGAATGTACTCCAATCACTAACCAATCAAATGTTTTGTTTATATAGTCGTTAACCAATCACATAGAGGTACTCACTCGCTGTTCCAATCGCTGGGGACCCACTCTTCGAACTCCTTGCCAGGTTCATGGAAGTACTCGTCAACAAACGCTTTCACCTGAAGAACAGAGAGAACATGTGAGAAAGATATGAGGAATGTAGAGAACAGGAGAACAGAACCCCTACCTGATCCTACAACTGGCTCTAGGACTCTTACCTGGCCCCAGGACCCATACCTGGACCCATAACTGGCCCCACAACTGGCCCCAGGACCCATAAGTGGCCCCGTGACCTGGCCCCATAAATGGCCCCAGGACCCATACCAGGCCCCACAACTGGTCCCAGGACCCCTACCTGGCCCCATAAGTGGCTCCAGGAACCCTACCCTGGTTGGGCCGCGGAACAAGGTGGTCAGACTCTTAACGAGGGGGTCGGGGGCGGGGGGGGGGGGGGTTTGTTATTTACACAGTCACCACAGCCATCAACAATTAGGGCAATTAGCGCTTGTAACTGCCTTAAGTAGCTCATTAACCACTTACACTTGCCCGCGCGCAGATTATGACAGCGCTATTAATATTGGGCAAGGTGGGCACTGAGACTCCGGAGGCTAGGAGCTGTGGGGGGGGAGGTTGAGACTCTTGCTAGGGGAAATTAAGACTCTTGCTAGGGAAAATTGAGACTTTTGTTGAGGATTAACTTAATAAAATAACTGAAGACTAAAGAAAAGAGTTGATGTAAATAGAAAAAAAATATTGCTGCACAGGGGTTGTCAGAAAGGTGTTAGGAAGGTGTCAGGAGGGTGTCAGGAGAGTGTCAGAAGGGGTGGGTAAGGAGATGTGTCATATGGATGTCAAATAGGTGTCATATACTCAACGTCTCATGCTTATATAGTCTTCAAGTCACACGTCTTTTTTTTTCTTCCCAGGATTAACATAGTCATAAGGAGACGTTGGTTAATAGACAGTATACTTATATAATTTTTTTGGTGATATATCTTAACTTTTTTTATTACTAGGATGAATGTACTCATCTTTTTTTATTAAGCTAGACAAGTGGTGTGAGGTGAGAATATGTGAGGTGGTGGAGGCTCGTCTTACATGCAGGGGAGGTAGTGTGTGTGTGTGTGGTGGGCGGCGACCTGTGTACAGTATATTATGTGTGTCGTGTGGGTGACGTAACGCCTTTACACGTATCATTACAATACAAAGCGAACGGCCGGGCGCATTGTTGAGGCTAATAATTATGAGGAATGTGGTTTCTGATGATTAGAATGAGTAGATATATATATCATTTAAAAGAGTATCTACGTGTGTATATTTTTCCGTGTCATAACATTCACCAGCAAGGCCCCCAGCGTGAAGGGCAGGAGTGTTGCCCCGAGGCCATACAGTGTTGTAAAACCATTGGCTTATTAATTAAAAAATTCAAGTGTGTTATTAGGCACGGTGGGCATCAGATAAGCCGTCGGCGGCCTGAGGGAAGAGCTGTACTGTAGTCCTTCCTGCCTTCACGCTAGGGTCCAGGGTTCGAGTCTTGCTGGTAGACATTAAGACAATTACATAAATATACTCGTTTTAATATATAATTCCCGAGTTATGTTTACAAAAGCCGTATATCTCTCCCTGGATGACTCTTAATGGGAAGAAACTACTCCCTCGGGTGAAATAATATCCACAAAGTTTCCTATATTGTGTTAACTGCGGTACTCTCCTCCCGCGGAGCATCTAACGAACTGGTAGGGAGGAGTACCCGCAGGACGTCTTAGTACTGCGACAGAAGTTAACATCGTAAGTTTTAGTGAGGCAGTTTACCCAGCGGGAGGTCTTCACATCCCAAGCAGCCCGACCAAAGCCGCCAAAGGACCGCAAACAAGCCCACTGGGACAAACCCATCATGGAGAAGATTGCCTCAGACATGCTCGAGAGGACATCAACTGAATTAGAGAGGACTTGCTTGCAGTGAGATGCGCCTCATGCCTGGGAACTTCCTGCTGGCCACCCCCGAACTCGACCCAGAGCCCCTGCGTGTTGGTATAGTCTATTACCTTATTACCCCCATCTGTCCCGCACCCCAGCCCTCATCTGTGGCTCCTCTGGGGGGATCAACTGAGAAGAACAAATAAGTTCCTGCTATCACCAAGAAGAGCCTGTCTATCGCACGCTGATTAACGATAGAGTACTAGAGCCTGATTACGAATCTTGGGTTTGGACTTACAATATAAAAAAAATCATATAAAATAGATCTAAGATTAAGTCAGAGCGTTAAGTTTAATCCTTCCAGTGGTTATATGATTTACTAGACGGGAGCTTAGCGTTGATTTAAAGAGGCATTACGGTGATCACTTTGTGGCTCAGAAAGATAACACTACATCAAGCACTTAACTCCAACTGATGGCAGGGATCTGAGTGCAAGTCGTTTGTTTTTATATCCACGTAAATATTATCATTTGTGTTACTATTTGGTAACATTTTTGGGGTCATTGTTAAATTAGTATTATTTTTTTACTTTAATACTTATTTTAGGAAAAGTTTATATTTAGTTTTTTGTTAATTTCGTCTTAATGTTTCTTTGTGTTTAGGAAATATCTGATGCTAAAAAATATCGATGAAAATAATTATAATGTAATACAAATGAGTGTTAGTTTCAATGTTAATTTTTACCAATATATGTAATGTAATGTTAATATTTCTTGTTTTTGCTGTGGCTATGTTAGTGCTAATATTATTGTAACTTGTTATGTTACTTAATATAATTATAATCAACTATGTTATATTTCCTACATTCTCTCTCTCTCACTCCCTCCCTGTTACTTTCACTACACCTCTCTCTCTCTCTCTATCTCTCATTCCCCTCTCATTCTCTCTCTCTCTCACTCCCTCCCTGTTACTTTCACTACACCTCTCTCTCTCTCCCTTCTTTATCCACAGTTGTTAGTCTTCCTTGGAGGAGCTTCAACATTAATCCTTTTGTTTCAGTTATCGTCATCTTCTCTTTATCTATTACTTCCTTTCTCCATTTCTCTCTCTTTTACTGTTACTCTTTCTCTTCTACTCTCTCTATTTATCTCCTTATTCATCCCAATCCATCATTATTCATCCTAATTCATTACCATTCATCACTCTTCAACATTATTCATCACTATTCATCATTATTCATCCTAATTCATCACCATTCATCATTATTCATCATTATTCATCCTAATTCATCATTATTCATCACTACTCATCATTATTCACCCTTATTCATCACTACTCATCATTATTCACCCTTATTCATCACTATTCACCACTATTCATCATCCCTTCGTCTTTCATATTGCTTTATTGATCCTCGCCTCTTACCTGTCCCGTGTCTAATCTCTCGCAACAGGTAATATTAATTAACCTTTTTCTTCCTTAGTGAAATTATAATATTTTAATATGTATTCAACTCTGTTCAGTCTGTCAGGGTATTCTTATTCGGTGAGGGATTTGTACATTTGAGTAATTAATTTCATGGTAATTGTCTTATTTTTTTAAAAATTATTGTGAGTTATTTTTGGAATTGTTTTGTTGGGGATAATTATGGTGTTTATTAGTGACAGACAGATAGGCAGACAGACAGACACACAGACAGACAGACAGACAGACAAACAGACAGACAGACAGACAGACAAGACAGACACACTATACAAGTCACCTCCTTCAGACAGACAGACAGACAGACAGACAGACAGACAGACTACAGCTCACCTCCTTCAGACAGACAGACAAACAGACAGACAGACAGGCACACAGACAGACAGACAGACAAACAGACAGACAGACAGACAGACAGACTACACAACTTACCTCCTTCTTGCTGGGTTCCCTGTCAGTTCGTTCCATCAGCTGGTTGAAGGCTAGGAGGGTAGCATCAGTGGTGTTCTTAAGACCCATGTCCACGAAGTACTTAGAATCGTTGTGCAGGCGGGCCATCTGTACTGTCTTGAGCAGCTCCCCGTGGCAGAAGATCTCACTGAGGGGAGAAAAGGTAGAGAGAGTTAAGTGAGGGAGTGAGAGGTGAGGAGAGGAAAAGGGGAAAGAGAGTGTTGAGGGGGTGAGGAGAGATGAGGGGAAAAAGGAGAGAGAGAGAGAGTTAAGTGAGGAGGAGAGGGTTAATGAGGGAAGACAGATCAATGAGGGGAAAGAGGTGGGTGAGAGGAAAGAGGGGAGGGGAGATAGAGGTTAGTGAGGAGAAAGAGTTTAATGAGGGGAGAGAGATCAATACGGGGAGACAGTGGAGGAGGGGAGAGGCAGTGGGAGGAGGGGAGAGATAGCAAGAGAGACAAAGAGAATACCTCTTGCATCAACCTACCTCCTGCATCACCCTACCCCTTGCATCAACCTATCTTTTGCTTCACCCTACCCCTTGCATCAACCTATCTTTTGCTTCACCCTACCTCTTGCTTCACCCTACCTCTTGCTTCACCCTACCTCTTGCTTCACCCTACCTCTTGCATCACCCTTAAGTGCAAGAGAAGCTGAGGGAGGTAACTGCTGGAAAAACAGTAAACACTCAAGCGCTTATATCGACCTTCCCACTCATTGTACTGAGGCCCTCAAGGTTAAGGTTATAGGGCAGACACTTCACCTTGTCTTGTTTGTGTGTGTGTGTGTGTAAGTTACAAAATCCACACTCACAGTCTCCAATACACACACACATTAACCATACACATAACATACGTACATACACCAACCATACAAACATACAATACATACACACGTCATCACTGCACATAACTTAAACAAACCTAACCTAAAGTACTGTAACCTAACTTAACTTAATGGAACTTACTGTAACTTAATCTAACCTTAAGTAACCTAACCAACTACTGTATAAACTACTGTAACCTACTGTAAACTAACCTAACTTACTGTAATTTAATCCTCTTAACAGAAGATGTTACCATGATAGGCGTAGGAATACCAGATACCACTTAAAGACGAGGAAGAATACCAGATACCACTTAAAGACGAGGAAGAATACCAGATACCACTTAAAGACGAGGAAGAATACCAGATACCACTTAAAGACGAGGAAGAATACCAGATACCATAGTGAATAAGTGTGAGAGGACTAGATATAAAAGAGACAAGGTAAACCAGCATTTGACAGCATTTAACAACATTTAACAACATTTAACATTATTTGACAGCATTTAACAGCATTTGACAGCATTTAACAGAATTTGACAGCATTTAACAGCATTTGACAGCATTTAACAGCATTTGACAGCATTTAACAGAATTTGACAGCATTTAACAGCATTTGACAGCATTTAACAGCATTTAACACCAAGCGGAGTAGAAGGGGAAGAACAGCATACCAAAACACGAGGAAGATGTAACCAAAGCCCGAGGGAACTGTCTTCGCTCATCGGATCACTGTGTTTCATCCCACGCATAACGCTGAGACGAGACGAGAGATGGCAATAAGAGAGTGTGATGTGTGAGAAAGAGGCAGACAGTTAGTATGTGTGTGTGTGTGAGAGAGAGAGAGAGAGAGAGAGGTGATATCACTTTAATTTACACTCGCCGGTATGCAAGGAATCGTCAACGCTTTGCATGACGTTCATTCTAGCCTTGGAATAAAATTTGCAGTGTGATACAAGCAACACACTCTTACATTGTCATATATGATAAATCCCTCTTCATACATTGTCATACATGATAAATCCCTCATCATACATTGTCATATATGATAAATCCCTCAAGTATTTTTCACAGTCATTACAAATCCCTATTCATGTGAGACCTGTGACCACCCTATACACTTTGCCTACAGTACCACACACACACACACACACACACACACACACACACACACACACACTCACACACACACACACACACACACACACACACACACACACACACACACACACACACACACACACACACACACACACACACACTCTCTCGTGACCTGATGGTGTACCTATAATTTCATCTATTTTTTGTCGTTGTACTTCTTCAATTTCTGGGGTGTTGGGTTTGATGGATGAGTGGAGTAGAGCTGACGGGAGAAGAGGGGCTGGACAGAGAATAGATCTGTCTGTCTGTCTGTCTATCTGTCTTTATCTTTCTCTCATATTCTTTCATTCTTTCTTTCTCTTACATAGCTTCAACACCTATCGCGAAAGTCTCTCTCTCTATCTCTCTCTTTCTCTCTTTCTGTCTCTCTCTCTCTCTTATCCCTGTCTCTCATCTCTCCCTCCCTGGTTGACTGTGGTGCACTGGGAGATCAAATAGCTTCTTTCATCTCAATACACCGGTTCGTATCCCTTCTTGATATGTTTACCGGAATATCTCTTATCATTAATATCATCCATGGCTTACAGTGAAACCTTTATTTAACGGACTGATACGGAGAGGGAAGTCCGTTATATCAAGGTTCCGTTAGATGTGAATCCCCATTAGCGGATTATATGGAGAGGGAAGTCCGTTATATCAAGGGTCCGTTAGATGTGAATCCCCATTAGCGGATTATATGGAGAGAAAAGTCCGTTATTTAGAGGTTTCACTGTAGATTATTTGTTTATTCATTATTATTTACTGTATTGTTTACTAAAAGTCCCCTTCCCCTCTGGTCGAGTGGTCACATGTCACTGAAGAAAGACGTAAAGGACTTTGGTTCGATTCCCGGGTTGGTTGGAACTAAAAGGGGGAGGGGGGAGAAGGACACACTATGCCAATTACCTCCAGCATCAGAACCGGGATATAGAGCGATTAACGGGTCGTATCTTCCGGGTTTTAAGAGATTGAGCCAGTGCGGTTGGTTAGTTGTCCGATCAACCACGGCTTTGCCTTGATGTGGGGTTGTGTGGGTCGGTAACTCAGGGTGTGGTTGTTGTTAGTCAGTTTCCATTTCTTTCCACAATATTATCACCGTGGTTGGTCTCTCCCCCCCCCCCCCCCAAGGTAATCACTTAATAAAATCCAAATTAATTTCTACCTTGATCAAAAGAAATGAATTTTTCCTTGATCAAAAACTAATCTTCCTTGATCAAAACAAATCAACAAATACCTTGATCAAGACCAAATCCTCCCATCCCAGACAGGAGACAAACTACACCAGGATCTTAATTAAGGCAATCCAATTAAACCTGTCTCTTCTCTTACCGCCAAAATACTACTAATTACTGATAAAAAACAATGACGTTATCACCTGGTTCACTTACACCTTTCCCACCTTGGTCAGATCAGGTGCGAGAAATTAAAAAAAATCTTACGAGAATTTCTTTAAGGGATTATCTTAAAATAAGACATCCCAATTTATGTCACCTGATGGTTTAACACCTAACCTAACCTAACCTAACCTAACCAAACCTAACAAAACCTGACCTAACTTATCATAATATAACCTAATCTAATTTAACCTAACCTAATATAACAACATAACCCAACCCAATTTAACATAATATAGCCTAACCTACTTCAAACCTCAAATTTCATAATCTAAAGTTCTAAACTAACCTATTGTTAACCTATTGTAACTCAACCTAACATAATAGTGTGTCTATGTGTGTACAGGAGACGTTAATAGTGTTTCATTAACGTCTCCTGCACACACACACACACACACACACACACACACACACACACACACACACACACACACACACACACCTTTAGTCACGGGATAAATAAATACAATAAACAATAAAATAATTAAAACTACGTAACCTGACAATAAAAAAAAATCGATACCAGTTAATGTTTTTTCCCAGGTATTTTTTGTCCCTCACATTTGGTAAACAAAACAGGTGAGTGTTGCAATTAACCTGATAATTCGCCGGACGCTATGTTACCCCGTGATAAATTACGACACAGTTTAGAATGAGCAAGAATTTCATTTCATTAGTACAACGTGTGAACGAGGCAGGGTGGGGATTCTCAAACTATCGTGGGTTAAGTTAGGTAGTTGTTTGTCTGTCTAGCATAAACTGACTCAGATTCTTCAAGGACATCAGGAGATAATGACATGACAGTTCTCTAAGATAAATACCTTAAGAACTGTATGATTCACCTTCTTAAACATATAACAAAAACTACTTCTACATCCGTGAGGCTGACAACACTACCACCTCTATCCCTGTGTAGTGTGAGAGATGAACTGTCCTACCTTGATCATGTATACAGCAAGAAAGTTAGTCGCATAGGAACAACCTTCACTTCGCCAGCTTGCACTGTCAGGTATAGAGTTAACAGTCAAAAAAATACATCTTCACACACGGGTCCGATGAATTTCACAATGAACACTGTGACTCCTGTTGTCTCAGTAGGGTTATCAGAATCCTTAGTCCGTTGTGTCATATTGTCTCACACAAAATTATCAAGATACTTTTTTGGTAAACTGTACTTAATCACAACCGGATGGACTAAAAAGTACCCAAGGATCAAACCAGCGAACCTTAGGACGGGCAGTGAGTATTGTAACCACTCTACCTCCACATACCGGGATATACAAGAATCTCCAGTACAAAAAGACAAAAAAACAGTCGTCAGTGTTTAGCTCATAAGACTTAGTACACCTGGGGACGTTTGAGGCCGGGCTTGGTTAAGTAGAGCCAACGCAACTCAATAACGAGTTTATGGACGTCTGAGCAGTGCTGGAAGCTGGGAAGAGAGAACGTCATGTGTCCCTTGTGTAGGCGAGCCACGCAAGCAACACACTAAAAGATAATACAAGTGGTAGTGACGTGGTGTACATACTGCCAGACACTGTACTATCACCATAATGTACTACTGTCAGGGTGTACATACTGTCAGACACTGTACTATCACCATAATGTACTACTGTCAGGGTGTACATACTGCCAGACACTGTACTATCACCATAATGTACTACTGTCAGGGTGTACATACTGCCAGACACTGTACTATCACCATAATGTACTACTGTCAGGGTGTACATACTGTCAGACACTGTACTATCACCATAATGTACTACTGTCAGGGTGTACATACTGTCAGACACTGTACTATCACCATAATGTACTACTGTCAGGGTGTACATACTGCCAGACACTGTACTATCACCATAATGTACTACTGTCAGGGTGTACATACTGTCAGACACTGTACTATCACCATAATGTACTACTGTCAGGGTGTACATACTGCCAGACACTGTACTATCACCATAATGTACTACTGTCAGGGTGTACATACTGCCAGACACTGTACTATCACCATAATGTACTACTGTCAGGGTGTACATACTGCCAGACACTGTACTATCACCATAATGTACTACTGTCAGGGTGTACATACTGCCAGACACTGTACTATCACCATAATGTACTACTGTCAATTTATCATACGAATCTTTGTGAATTCAGGTTGTTATTTATTTCATATTTATAAACAAACTACAAGATTTTTACCTATGTGACCTTTAGGAATTATTTTCATCCTAAACGCCAGCACGAGCAATAGATATCTCACGTTTCTGGATGTTTCGCCAGACGAACTTTCGCCCACCTTCGGCTTGCACTGACACTGTAGCTCTCGAGTTAGGGATCCTTAAGGGAAAACTCGGTCCTCTGACGTGGAGTGTCTCGGAGAAAGCACTTGGATTAGAGTGTATCGCGGGATGCACTCAGTGTTTTGACCTTCAGTGTCTCGTGGGGTACGGGAGGGGGGGGGGAGGGGATTCGAACCCTTGACTTAGAATGCCTCAGGGGAATATCCGAACTCTGACTCTTGGGTGTGTGTGTGTCGCTGCCTGCCACCCCACCACCACCGTCACCAACACCACCCACTACCACAACTACCACCACAACCCACCACTACCACAACTACCACCACAAACCACCTACTACCACAACCACCACAAGATGGTTATAATTAGTAATATAATGAAGGAAAATCTACCCTCCTATAACCACCTATAGCATTAATATATCACATTATACCTATGTTAATATAATGAAGATAATAAAGATTAGTTTCATTATAGGATCGTATAGGAATTGCATTAATTATATACATATATCTGTTTATCTATATACTTATCGATAACTATAACCTATATTTAATTCTTCATATCTAAAATCATCTCTCACAGGATATATATTGAGTGCACAATAAACTAGCAGCTGTAGATGGTAAAAATCATATTCATTATCGTTCTATCAGCCATGTCAACCAGTTCATTATAAGTCTATGCTATTTCTCGATAATAATGACTTTCTGTTGTTTACACTTTACATCCATTAGGGAGGAAACGTTGAGCAACTAAAGAGAGGTAATTTTTTTTTCCCACAATGATTGATGCAACACACACACACACACTGGCCAAACTTGTGTTGCGTCTAGTGGAAGAGAGGGAAGCAAAATGGTTCCTTTATTGTCATGAGGTAGAAGGAAGGACGCCTCACCTGTCACAAGATAGAGAGAAGAATACCTCACCTGTCACAAGATACAATAAGGTAAACTCACCTGTCACAAGGAGGAAGCAGGTTCTGGGTCATCACCAGGTGGGGTAACAAGGTCATCACCACTGCCACCACCCCAACACCTCTCCACCACCAACCAGGGCGCCGTTCCATCACTACCTGTAAACACAAACACCTTTACTGACAACAACTCCCATTAAATACTCTAACATTGAGGTTAATTGGGATAAATGATCGTATTTATCCTTAATTGTTTCAGGTATGTTGGGTCTTTTCTCCTGTGTATTGTGTTTGATTAAGAGGATAAAGGAAAATATAGTAGAATATACAGGTGAAATTATGGTAATGAACTCAGGTATAGGTTTTAACTCAACAAAAATAAATAATAATAATAATAATAATAATAATAATAATAATAATAATAATAATAATAATAATAACAGACAGGAATTCGATAGCAAAACCATTATTTCCAAACGAGAGATAAATATTTCTTTTAATGACGCCATCCTTACAAGAGAGAGAGGGACACTTACACACGTAGGGTAATATTCATACACACTCTACATATACATTGATACATAAATATTCATAGCACGCAGAGGAACACTTACACACAGTTTGGCCCATTTATACAACAGTTTACAGTCAACGCAGGAAACTAATGAGAGTATTTAATTCTCTTCTATACAACGTTATTACCCAATAGGTGTGGCAGGTGAAGGAACTGGTTACCTGAGAGTAATTACCACACGTGTTGTATATAAGACGAATAATATACAGGTGTTGTGGTGATTAACTGTATGTATGTATGTATGTATGTATGTATGTATGTATGTATGTATGTATGTATGTATGTATGTAAGTATGTATGTATGTTTATCTGTCTATGTATAAAATAAAAGAGGAAGAGAGAGAGGGAGATGAAGAAGACATGGTAAGGAAATGGGGTGATAATGAAGTTAAGTGAGAGGAGGGAAGGAGGGAGAGAGGGTAGGAGAGGAGGGAAAGAAGTGAGAGAGGAGGAAAGGAGAGAGAGGGGTGAATGGACGAAAGAAAGCAATAGGGGTGAGAGACAAAGAGAGAGATTAGAGGTGAGGGAGAGAGGTGAGAGGAACGGGTGAACGAGTGTTAGTTTTCCTGATCGTCTTCCTCTGTTCTTGACTCTCTCTCTCTCTCTCTCTCTCTCCCATCATCCTTTCCTACAGCATTTAAACTTTCTAACTTCAACTCATATAATAATTCTAACTCACCTCGCTAAACTAATCCCCTTGATGAAAATTTTCCCCCACAAAACTTAAAGACAATTACTAATTCCCTCATAAAATGATGATAACTGTAATAATTCAGGTTAGGGAAATTCCGGTATATGTGATGTAACGAGAGACTGGCATCTCAGGTTACAACTCACTAAAAGTTCAAAATGTCAACTAACTCATGGCATGTCAACAATCCCTGAACTTCAAAGGGAAATGTTTTTATCTACAGAACAAAGTTGAGTGAAGGAATGAAGTAATTTTAATTCTTGTTTGTTCTTCGTGGTTGTTTGATGTACACACTCCCCCCCCAAAAAAGTATCTTTACGGTTCTGTGTTAGACAATATGACACAACGGATGAAGGATTATGACAACCCTACCGAGACAATAGGAGTCGTAGTGTTCATTCTGAAATTCATCGACCCTCTCCGTGAAGATACTTTTTTTTTTTGGTGGGGGCGAGTTATACAGGTTGGTAAATGTACACAAAACAAGTCATTTCAATGCAAAACAACACAAAACAACACAAAACAACACAAAACAACACAAAACAACACAAAACAACAGGCTAGAATAGGAAGCTGTCCAAAGGGTCTGTTTTTGGGTGGGTTAGAAAACTCAGGTGCTCCCTTCTGTGTGTTGAGTCGTGCTTATGGCAGGAAGGCATTATCCTCACTTGACGAAGGTGGAAGAAGCGATTAGGTGCTTTTTACCTCCTCCTGAGAGAGAGAGAGAGAGAGAGAGAGAGAGAGAGAGAGAGAGAGGAAAATAAAGAAAAGGAAAGAGAAAACGAAAAGGAAAGAAATAAAGATACAATAAACTAAATAGAGATACAGAAAAGAAAGAAAAAAGATAGAGAAAGGAAAAGACAGAAAAAAAAGAAACAGGAAGAAAAACGCAGAAAGAAAAATACAAAACGGAAAGAAAAGAATGAAAAAGAAAGAATGGAGAGAGATTCACAGCACAAGAGAATCGAAAACTCGGGTTCATTAGTGTTTATCTGTCGTCCCAGCCATCTGTGGGGTCTACGGCGACAATGAAAGTCTCCCTGAAAAATTGGTCCAAGGTGTGGTGTAGTGTGAGGTGGTGAGGAAGCGTGATATCTCTCTTTCTCTCTCTCTTTTCTATCTCTCTTTTTTTCTTTAGTCATGGAGGGGCGTGATATCTCTCTCTCTCTCTCTCTCTCTCTCTCTCTCTCTCTCTCTCTCTCTCTCTTTATCTCTCTTTTTCTTTAATTTAGAGTCGTCGAGGAGCGTAGAGCATTCATCTCTCTCTGTCTGTCGGTCTCTCTTTAATCTAGAATAATGGAAGAGCGTGGAGCCGTTATCTCTATCTCTGTGTCTGTCTGTCTGTCTCTCTCTCTCTTTGTCTGTCTGTCTGTCTGTCTGTCTCATTACCCAGACACCGTCACCGCGCCACCCAGCTCTTCACACTTAAACTTTAAAAGCAAGCATTCTCCCCGCCTACAGTCCCAGGTAAACAGGGCGTCAAAGCTCTGTAGAGTCAATATACGTGATGGTGGAGGCTCTAAATGGTCGCTTATGCTCTGTAGAGTCGACATACGTAGGGGTGGTGGCTTTAAAGCTCTATCAAGTCTCTATATGTGGTAATAGGCGTTTAAAAAGGTCAATAATACCCTGTAGTGTTAATGTACAGGGTGTTTCGACTCTAGAAATGTTATACATGGATCTAAAACACTATAAATCTGCTCTATTTAAGGTGCTATAACGCTATTGAGTTGCTATACACAGCACGAAGTCACTATAAATTCACCTGCTATACTTATAGATGTGTTCAATACATTAACCAATTACGTTAGAGATTCGTTCTCTTATAAAAAAACCCAAAATAACATCGACGCCACAGGTTCAAATCGTACTCTGAGTAATATGAGATCCTGTACCGAGTTTAATCCTCTTTTTAATGTCATAAACTATCGATGAAAGTGTTTTGGAGAGAGCAATACAAGTTACAATAATACTCCTCACCATTCCTCTATCCAGCACCAAGACATCAACAAGGAAGAAGAAAGAAGAAAAGATGAAGGACGAGGAGGATAAGAAGAAGGAGGAGGAGGGCACTAGGAATACACTAGAAGGACACTAAGAAGAGATACTAGGTACACTAGGAGAGGGTGTATGTACACTTAGTCAATAGCATGCAACAGTGGGAGGGTCAGAAAGATGATAATTGCTTTAATAATTCAAGAGACAAGGACTGACTCAGCATTAAGCAAGAGTATTGGTTCATGTAAATGTAATAATTTGAGTGGATGATAAGTACACTAGCATAGGATGATGGGAGCCAGTGGACGGTAACGACGGTAGAATGATGAATGAACAGGTAGGAGGGATGGTGTGATGAATGAAGGAATGAATGAATGAAGAATAACAGGAAGACAAACTAAATGAATGACAAATTTTCAAACGCTTATGTTAAAAAAAAAATTAATCAAAGCTTTTACAGAAAAAACCCGAAGTATTTTGACACACACACACACACACACATACACACACACACACACACACACACACACCCTAAAGCAATGTATAAAACTGATTTGAGAAAATCCTGTGTCATGAAAAAATGAAATAGAATAAGCAGTGGAGAGATGATAACTCAATTTTATTTAAAGAGAAGGGCAGATGGGTTGTTGTCTCAAGATGGGTTGGAGGTCCATGCACCCCCTACACACAATACCAGTCCTTTTAGTGAAATTAAGAATTTAGGGCCTGTGGTTCAAGTTAATAGAACTAAGATCTATTAAGTCTAAAAATAGATTGTCTCAATGGAACTAGGTCCTATTAACTATATGGTTCATTAGAATTAGGGCCCATTAGGACTAGGGACCTATTTAACCCATTATTATTATTATTATTATTATTATTATTATTATTATTATTATTATTATACTTCTCTACCCCTTATTTATCCTTCTACCTTTATTTCCATTTTTATTCTAAGTTTTGAGTCATTCCTAAACGATTATTTTATATCTGGAAATTTACCCCCTCCCCCTCCTCTCCTCTCCGCGCCCGGCTGGAGAGGAGGAGAGAGAAGAAAAATAATTCCCAACATCATTAGAAACGTATTAGTGAAAGTTTCATTCCGAGTTATTGATTTATACGGCAGTGAAAGTTGGGGATTATTTGGCCTGGAAAGTAATAAATAAAAGCCAGGTGGAAGAAAGTGCAAAAACCCAAACCGGGAATGAATGTTGGGTATATTTGACCGGGAAGAAAGTGCAAAAACCCAAAACCGGGAATGAATGTTGGGTATATTTGACCGGGAAAAAAGTGCAAAATACCAAAAACCGGGAAACATCAACCATTTTACACATACTATTAACCTAAACATTAACATTTTTAACACATGATAGGAATATAAATATTTACAACCTATTAATATGCAAATAAATAGCTAATTCAGAGCTTATGTTGCTAAATATAAATAATTAGGTTAGGTTAGCATAAGTTAGGTTAGGTTAGTTTAGGTTAGGTTAGGTTAGCATAAGTTAGGTTAGGTTAGGTTAGGTTTCAGAACGTTTTATGATCCTGTATCTACCTCTATACTGTACCACCTTATATTAATTCAGTTACAAAATACAAAATACAATATACTGTAACTCTTAAAAACTGTAACTTGACTCATATATTCAAATTAGAATGTTAATCTCTTTTCAACATAAAATTCAGGAACAAACTTTTAGAATCATAATATTAAAATGTTTGCCAATTTGTAATCACCGCTGTGTAATTTTTTTTTCAAACTTTCCTGAATATAAAGTATGTGATTGCGAGGCTAAACATTGATGTCAATATGTAATCACAGTAATGGGATTTATTTTAATGTTTATACTGAATATTTCTGATTTAAAACATTTTTTGGGGGACTGTAAATGC